TCCGGAGAAATTTATTCCCCCGGGAGGAAAGTCTCCGAAATTGATTGCGAGTTTATATGATAAATATAACTACGTTGTTCATTTCATTCACTTGAAAGAAATGTTGAGAAATGGTTTAATTTTAAGAAATATTCACCGTATACTGAGCTTTAAACAGTCAAATTTTTTACAGAAATACATAGATTTGAATACAAATCTGCGGCAATCCGCTGTGTCCGTTTTCGAAAAAGACTTTTTTAAACTCATGAATAATGCAATTTTCGGTAAAACTATTGAAAATAGACGCAAACAAGTAAGTGTTAAATTGATCACAACTTGGAAAGATGAATATAATTTAACAAAAAAGCGACTTGATGCTGAAACACTTATTTCTCGCCCAAATCTAAAAAATATTTCAGTGTTCTCAGAAAATTTTATAGCTGCTCAATTTACTCCAGAAAAGATTGTGCTCGACAGACCTATCTACATTGGGTTTTCAGTTTTAGAATACGCAAAACAGCATCTATACAAGTTTCATTACGATTTTATTAAAAAGATATATAATCAGAATGCAAAACTTTGTTATACAGATACTGATAGCCTCCTATACTTGATATTCACAGAGGACGTTTACAGAGATATCAAAAATAATTTGTCGGAATTTGATACTAGTAACTTTGATTTAAATAATCCATACTGCATAGAAAGGGTGAATGCAAAAATCCCCGGCTTATTTAAAGACGAACTTGGGGGTGATGTGATTAGAGAATTTGTAGGTCTTAGAGCAAAACTTTATTCCCTGAACAGCATTAAAACACGAATCAATAAAGCTAAAGGTGTTTCTAAGTGCGTTACTAAGAATCTTACTTTATCACAATACAAAGACTCATTATTCAACGTCAAAGATTTAAAATGTAAAATGAATTTAATTAAATCAATCAAGCACGTACTTTACTCTCAAGAGCTTAATAAAACGGTTTTAAGCAATACTGATGATAAAAGGCAGATACTAGTAAATAAAGTCAACACCTTACCTTGGGGGCATTACAAAACAATTTTTTAATTTATCTTTCACTAACATTCGTAATGATATTTGCCTGCTGTAAAGTATATTATATTTGTAATTCGATAAGGAATTTTTACTTTTTCGTTATTTTCATGTTTATATATTTTTTTTTATTTTTAATGTATGTTTTTTACTTTTAATATTTGTAAGATTAAGATTTGTAAATACGCTTGTACTAAA